CTAACTTCAGGTGGGTCCCCTCCCACCCATCATTAGAACACTCCCCCCCTCCCCCTTGGTCCAGTTGGCAGACGTCACAGGTCCTCTTCCTGCTCTTCTTCCTACTGCGGTGAGTGGGTTCTGAATGCTGCTCTCTGCAGCATTCAGAGGAGGATTTGGGAGTGGGTGACTCACCTGCTGCCTCCTTTAAGGTTTTCTGGCAGGATCAAGAGGTTTTGCACTTATAAGATATATTAACATTTTTGATTGTATATTTAACAGACCAAAACGGAGCAAAAAAAAGATAATTGTTAGGATTTTATAAACCCCAAGCAACCAGATGGGCCTGTGGCCACCTAACTCCTACAGGACTAACTTTAAAAGGAGGCAACAGGTGAGTCACCCACTCCCGATTCCTCCTTGCTTCCCATGGCATTCCCATGGGCATCACCATCCAGAGCGAATAAGGGGACCAGCAAGGAGAGGACACCTAGAATGGTAAAATAGGAGGGAGCAGAGGGACCCCAACTAAGATCCACCATGTCAAACCTCCCTTTTTCTCCTGTAAGATACAGAAAAACAATGGGAAGAAGTTTGACTATCCTGAAATGTATAGATTCTTACCATTTCCTTTCCTCACAGGTAGGTCTCTCTCCCTCTCGAGTGTGCCATCATGGGGCATTTAGTATATGTACTATACTGGCAGAGCAGAGTAACAGCCACACCCTTTAGCACTCTATACTGGCAGAGCTGAGTAACAGCCACACCCCTCAGCACTTCTCTATACTGGCAGAGCTGAGTAACAGCCACACCCCTCAGCACTTCTCTATACTGGCAGAGCTGAGTAACAGCCACACCCCTCAGCACTTCTCTATACTGGCAGAGCTGAGTAACAGCCACACCCCTCAGCACTCCTCCATACTGGCAGAGCTGAGTAACAGCCACATTCTGGTCAGGTAACTGGTTTCCACTCAAACTGGCCTACTGTGTGTTCACATGTTGGATTGAAGGGATGATGGGCCGTAAGCTCCTTTGAGGTATGGAGCAACACAAACAGTGTTAAGTAGGTACTCTCTGTTGCTCAAGAGGTGTGAAGGAAGAGGCATATTTGACGTAACCCTCAGCAAAATGAATCCAAGCACAAAAACAACTCTCTTTATTCTTAGGTTCACGTCCTTGTTTAATCTATAAAATACATTTCAGACAATGACAAACGCCCCGTCATTGACTCTCCGATAACAATTATTTTAATTAGAACGATTTCCCTCCCATTACAACGATGGCAGAGCGACGTCACAGCAAATTGTTCCGTAAATATTGTCTCTTTCTTCCGTTAAATAGACTTCTCAAGGTCCTCCCCCCCGAAAATGTCAGGTTCTTGAGAACAGACATACAGGAGGAAAAAAAGGAGAGAGATGGCGCAGTGCGAACATTCTCACGGCAGGGCGAGAAGGAATGGACTTGGTTCAAATCCTCTTTTTGTCCATAACGGGTCTGGGTCCCCCCCCCCGGTGGACAGGTAATGTGGCTGCCTTGAAATTTCACCCATAACGGGTCTGGGTCCCCCCCCCCCGGTGGACAGGTAATGTGGCTGCCTTGAAATTTCACTGCGAAAATTAAAAGCAGTAAAAAAAAAACGTGTACGAGCACGGTTGTATATGTAAATATATAAATATATAATTACATATATACATGCACACGTGGGTGGAAAGAGCTGGAAGGTTCACACTCCTCAGCACTTTCACGGTCTTCATTTACATGCATTGTATGCGTCTTTGAAGGATTTCATGTATACAGGACATTGTAGAGCTGGTAGCAGTTAGTCACATTTACGACATATTCAGGGCCGGATTTACTCTCTCTGCTGCCCTAAGGCCAGGTTCCTAAATGTGCCCTACCCCCCCGCCCCATGGAGAATAGCAGACCCGCAAGCTGCATACAAGTGATCTCAGCGACAACGCCGGGATCACTTGTACAAAACAAGCGGCGGCTTCCCCGCTGTACCTTAGTTGAAGCTGTTTTGGAACTACAAGTCCCATGAGGCATTGCAAGGCTCTGACAGCCACAGACAACTCCCAGAGGCAGATGCATGTTGGGATTTGTAGTTTTGGCACAGCTGGAGTGCCAAGGTTCGCCACCACTGCCCTAGGCCAACATCGGAGGTAGAAGTCTGTAGGGTTCTTTCAACACCTTAAAGCGTTTCTAAACCCAAAAGGCAAAACTAGGACCTATCGTAGCTTGCCAGTCCTTAGATGTGGTGGCCGTTGTCGTTAGTTTTCACACACTTCCAAGGGTGGCTACCATTACTCTTCTTTATCTCAGCAGGGAGCCATGGTTGTCATCATTGGCTGCTATCCTGATTTGGACTACAAAAACATCTTCTAAATCTCCATTACATGGTGGGGTGGGGGATTTTTTTGGGTTTACGGAAGATAGCATTGTTCATCATTTCAGGAAGTGAAAGAGACTCCGGTCTATTTGGCAAGAGCAATAGGTATTTTCTGTTCTTGTTGAAGATATCCTAAACAAAAAATGAAGCCTAATGCAACCACCACACTTAAGGACTGACAAGCTGCAGTGTGGGCTGGGTTGAGATATCCTTTACCTTCTTTTGAGGGCAATGAGGTGCACTTGTTGGACACAGAGGACAACTGGTCCTGAAGGAGTCCATATAGGTCAAGATGGAACAAGCATCCCGAAACTGGGATGGGGCCTTCAACTAGATCTACAGCACTCTTTTTCAACATTTTTACCTTTGACAACTTTTGTCGTACGTTAGGCCATATAACCTGAACTAGGTTCATATCTTGACAACCATTTGTACGTTAGGCCATGGAACCTAAACTAGGTTCCTATCTTTGACAACCATTCGTACGTTAGGCCATGGAACCTGAACTAGGTTCCAATCTTTGATAGCCATTTGTACGTTCGGCCATATAACCTGAACTAGGTTCCCATCTTTGACAACCATTCATACGTTAGGCCATGTAACCCGAGCTAGGTTCCTGGCCTTCATGGCACGATGGTTACTGGACCAAGGGAACAGCACAGGTTGGATTCACAAACTTTCACTCCTTCCGTTCTTGGACAATTCGCACCTACAAACGTCACATTCCATGGCCATTGGATTACGGTTACCCGTCTGGTTATAAATGTTGGGGTAGGTTTAGAACTGAGGAAGCTGCTTGGATGAGAGGTGAAGCGTCATTAACATTACCGAACAAGTCCAGTTGAATGTGACTAACCACTTCTAGCTGTGTATTTTGATACCTCGATGTATAAAGACCTGACTCCTATCCACCCAAGATAATGTATGTGTATAATAAATATATATGTAAATATATATATTTCTAAAAATGTATTTACAAAAAAAAAAAAAAA